AGAGGCAAGCGGGCTCCTGGGCATCACCCCCCTCACCCAGGGAACAAATGTGTCTCAAGGGGCATTTGTGAGCTTTGCTGTAAAACAGATTCCCAGTGTCGCTTGTACTGTATGTTTCTCTACTGTATGGAAAATAAAGTTTACAAGCACATGGTTCTCAGCCAGCAGGGCACTGGGGCAGCCTGCCCACCACTGGCCAGGGTTCTTCCTGGGGATCCATCTAACACATGACTGGGTATACCTGCAAAGACACGGGCCTTTAAAGGGTTTCTATGACAGCCGAGCACTGGGGCACACCAGGCCTCAGGGTCATGTGGCTCTGCGGAGGGCCGGCTCCGAGTCAGGCAGCCCGGCTCAAGTCCTGGCTCCTCCACTTACTTCCAGCTTCATGGTCTTGGGCAAGAGATGTCCCTCTCCCTGCTGTGACCTCTGCCTCTGTCCAACAGGTAGGCTGGCTCTGCTGCACTGACCTCCTGGTCGCCCCAGGATGCAAGGTGACGGGTGCAGCACTTGGGAAGCCACCCAGCTTACGGGGAGCTCCCACTAAGCCCCACTATGCATGTCTGGTCACATGAAGAACCCTTTCCCACATCTGTGCTATTTCACCCTCCCTGCCACCCACCCAGCAATGGGGAAACTGAGGCAGAGAGCGATTTCAACGAGCAGGAGGTCCAGGGACACTGCCTAGAGTAGCTGGAAGCGGAGCACTGGGAGCCGTGAACTTGCCCCCAACCCTCTGCTCCACCCAGAGTGGGCCACCCCCACCAGGCCCCGAGCCACTCTGGCCCCATCTAGGCTTCCATCCACCTGCCAGGCTCAGGCAGCCATGTCCACCCTCCAGGCCCTGCTCTGACTCCCACCTGCGGCCGGGGCTCTCCACACACACAGTGGTCCCAGAGAGTAGGCCCTTGTCCCCTGAGTCTTTGGGCCCTGGCTAAGAGGAGCCTATTGGGTGTTGGGGGGCTGAGGTTGGGAAGAGGGCATGGAGAGCTGTGACCTTACCAATTATTGGAGAGGCGAGCGCTTGGGAGAGCGTCAGGGGCCACCAGGGAAACCATGACCCCCATTCCCACAGCTCTTCCAAATCTGAAGGGTCAGGGGTCACTCTAGTGATTTCTGGGGTCCTGTGGGTTCTAGGGGAACTGGGTCTGGGGATTCTGCCCATTCACACTGTCCCTGCATCAGTGCCCATCACATGAAGCCACTTCTCCCTTGACAACTGTTCCCACCTTGTGGGAGACAAGCCCTGACACCCCAGCTCAGACCACCTTCTCAACCCCATGTCTGCCCCGCAAATGCCTCAGGGGAGAGTGGACCACAAACCCACCCGCTCACTCACAGACAGGCTGTGCTCTCCTGGCTCTGTCTGGGTCGCGTTCACCTTGCAGCCTGGCTTCGGAGTCCCGAGATCCGTTGCAGGGCCCTGAGGAGCACAGCGGGGCTGTGAGGTCAGGAGGCTGATTTCTTTCTTTTTTTTTGAGATAGAGTTTCACTCTGTCACCCAGTGGTGTGTTCTCAACTCATTACAACCTCTGCCTCCCGGGTTCAAGCGATTCTTCTGCCTCAGCCTCCCAAGTAGCTGGGACTACAGGTGCCCACCACCATACCCGGCTAATGTTTGTATTATTAGTAGAGACAGGGTTTCACCATATTGCCAGGTGACCTTGTGATTCACCTGCCTCGGCCTCCCAAAGTGCTGGGATTACACGTGGCTCACGGCCACCGTGCCCGGCCCATGATGTTGTTTTCTTAACAGTTTGGGTTCCATTGAAGGAGATAAACTGGCTGTGTGAGCACTGAATTAAACAGTGTGAGGAGGATCCTATTCACACTCTTCACACTCCAGGCCAGAATGTGCCCCCGAGATGTTGCCTCCCACCACCCTCCTGCTCTCTGCCCCTGGCTTCGAATGACCATGGCCTCCGGATGCCCATCTGTGAAGCGGGGAGGTGGGCGGGGGTCTCTGAGCTTGGGAGTGAGCAGGCCTGGGCTGTGGTCCCAGTTCTGACACCCTTGAGCTGACCTCTGTGGAGGCCTTCAGCTCTGGGCTTGTGCATCCAGGAGGCCTGTGGCTGCCACCTCCAGAGGAAGAGGGACAGTGACACTCAGACAGCCCTCCCCTGATGGGGGGGTCGCCCTTTTACCCACCCTGGCTGGCCCTGTCGTAGTGGGAGGTTGAGACCTCTGTCCTCCCAGCCCCCGAGACCTGACTGTTCCCTCCGGGTGGAGCCGCCTCCCTGGCTGCCCCTCCAGCTGCACTCGGTAAAAAAACAACCTCTGCAGAGTCCGCCAGCTGCTGTCCCGCCATTGTGCAACCCTCTGGCTCCTGTGCAGTTCCAGCTGCTGGGCCGACACCCACCCCTCCGCGTGTCCCGTGAAGATGTAAACAGCATGCTCACAAGGCCAGCGCCCGCCAGGAGGAGCGCCCTGCCCCAGGCTGGGTCCTCCGTGAACACCTGGAATCCCACAGGCACAGGTCCCCATGTCCCAACACCCCACATGACAGAGGCAGAAACTGAGGCCTGGAGAGGGTGAGGACCTGTTCCAGGTCACACATGAGCCAGTGGCCGGGCTCCAGGTGACCAGAGCTGGGCTTCCGTCTGTCCCATCAGGCGGCCATGGTGCAGCTGCTGCAGGACAGACCTCCACTGCCCTGACGCGGGGCCCAGCCAGTGCCTCCAGGAGGGCAGCCCTGCCTCCCACAGCTCACCTGTGGGTCACACATCTTCCTTCCTGCTCCCTCTGGGGTAAGTGGGTTCAGAACAGAGGAGCACAGATGGAAATTTCAGAATGGGTCAGAGCTGAAGGAGCAGAGGAGTGCCTGGGGCTGTCACCCACACCTGCTTCATTCCTCCTGACCATTCCCTCTGTGACGGGCCGAAGAACGGTCTCCAAAGGCATCCATGTCATGACCCTCGGAGCCCTGGAACGTCTTATATGGCAAAAGAGACTTAGCACATGTGATCGAGGCAAATAGCCTGATCCTGATTGTAGGATGGGCCGATGTGACACAAGGGTCCTTATAAGAGGGATGCAGAAAGAGTCAGCAGAAGTTAGAAAGTGGGATGATGGAGCGACAGGTGGGGGCTCTGTGGGGGAGGCTGAGAATGCAGAGGACCTTCTAGAAGCTGGAAATGCAAGGAAAGCAAGGAAATGGTCCCTTCAGAGCCCCCAGAAGGAGCCACTGCCTGACTCCTTGAGTTTAGCCTGGACAGACTGACTGTAGACTCCGGCTTCCAGGACTGCGAGAGAAGGAGTGTGTGCTGTGTTAGTCGGCGAGGTTCATGGTCATTTGTTATGGCAACCACAGGAACCGCACCTGCTCTTCAAGCTGGCCTCCAACTTCACTCCCTCCAGGAGGCCCCACCCTGCCCACGACGAGGGCCTGGGGACCCTTTAGGGCCTTCGTGGCCTCCGGTTTCTGGCTTATTTGCTTGTTCCTCTGGATGTTGACTGCTTCTTGCTTCCCCACCCCCTAGAAACATTGGCTCCAGGAGCTTATGAACTTTGCTTAAACCCCAGCCGTGTCCCCAGAGCCAACCCCAGCGCCGGGGCAGAGCAGGTGTTCAGTGAATGGGTCTTAGTTTGAATGAGACTCGTGGGCTTGAAAGTTCATCTCAGCTCTATAACTCTGGGGCCCATGTTGCCATGTCACTCCAAGCAAACCCCAAATCCAGTATCCAGGGAAGGCCAGGATGCCAGGCATGGGAAGAGGCAGGAAGAAGAGGTGGGGGTGGGAGGAAAATGGCCCCACTGTCCTCATAGCTACTGATCCTCTAAGCCTCAGGATCCTCTCTGAAAGTGGAGGAGCCACCTTCACTCTGCAGATATCCCCTCCGAAGGAGCAGCCGATGTGCTGCCCTGCACCCATGCAGCTGTCACTCAGCCCCTCTCCCAGGACCTCTCCAGGCTCCAGGGACACCCCAGGCAGGAGAACCTCCAAGGGGAAATCCCCTCTCCTCTTTACGTCGCCAGTTCCTGCCTCCGTCCCACTCCCTCCTCTCACTTCGGAAGAAGGGACCCCTCCTCCCTGGGCTCTGGGGCCACCCTCCACGGCTCCCTAAAGGAAAAGAGCCCTTATCTCACCTCCCACCAGCTGAGAGCTGCCCTCTCCCTGAGCTGCCCAAGTCCTCTCCTCTGATGTTTTATCATCACCCCACACAGTGGTCACAAGCCGCACTCAACTTCCTCTCCCCAAAGAGCTCCCTTTTGCCTTCTGGGGTCCAGAGGAGAGGTCGCAGGTTGGCCATCTGCAAAGCACTCCCTAACCCGCCGTTCTCCTTTGACAGCTGTTCACACGTTGCAGGGTACAGGCCCTGACACCTCAGCTCGGATCACCTTCTTGACCTCCTGTGTCTGCCCGAAAATGCCAGGGAAGGAGGCAATCACCTCGAGAGGCAGGACGTCAGTGACCTTTGTGGGGAGAGAGCTGTTGATGGGATGGGCTGAAGGGAAGTTCCGGGGAGTCAGGATTTGGATGCTGGTCATCTGGGATTTGCTTTATGATAGTGCATTGGACTGTTAGGTTTCTCTGCAAATTCTCCCAAACCAGCAAGCCCAGCCCTTCAAACCCAGGCAAGGTAAACGTCAAAAGGATATGCACAGCACACACAAGTATGTGCGCTCACAGCTCACATGTGTGTGCACACTCAGATGCATGTATGCATGGCACAGCACATGTGAGTGCAAACACAGCTCACATGAGTACACATACACTCAGATACATTTGCGTGGCATAGCAAATATAAGTGTGTACACTTCCACCTCACATGAATTTGCACACACAGATGCATGTGTGCATGCCACAGCACATGTGAGTATGTACAGTCAGAACTCACATGAGCTCATGCATGCGTGCATGAGCACAGCACACATGGGGTGAACCTTCTAAAAGCTGACAGATACGCTTGAAACAGTTTTATTTTTTCAAAATCATTTTTACTGTCAAGTGTGGCACATATAACAATGTGCCACAAACCTAACAGTCCAATGCACTATCACAAAGCAAACCCCACATGACCAGCACCCAAGTCCTGACTCCCCGGAACTTCCCTTCAGCTCATCCCATCAACAGCCATCTTCCCACAAAGGTCACTGACGTCCTGCCTCTTGAGGTGATTGCCTCCTTTCCTTTATAGTTTTGCCACCTAAGCATGCATTGCTAAGCACAGTTGCATGCTGCCTGCATTTTTCACATGAAATTACACAGATGTACTCACTTGCATCTGGCTTCTGCTCAACATCACATTTGTGAGATTCATCCATGCTGATGTGTGCAGCTGAAGGCTACCAATGTCCACCATTGTATAGTATCTGCTCTGGGAACATATGGCAATTCCTTTACCTGGTCTCCCATTGATGGCCACTTGGGGTGTTTCTAACTTGGGGCTATGGCGCATCATTATGTAACATCCTCATACGTGTGTCTTGTGACTTGTGCAAGTATCTCCGTTTGGCATACTTCTAGGACTGAAGCTGCTGGGCCATATAGTATACAGATATTCAGTTTGGGTAGAAATGCAAACTTTTCAAAGTAGTTTGACTAACTTGCACTCCCAACAGCAGTGTGTGTGAGTTCCTGTTGCTCCACATCCTCACCAACACTTGATGCTGTCATTCTCCGACGTGAGGCATTCTGTGGGCATGCAGCGGTAACTCATGGATTTCAATTTGCAATTCCATGATTCTTAATGAGGGAGGTCTGGCAACTTCTCAAGTACTGTATTTATTGGTCATTTAGATGTCCTCTCTGGAGCAGTACCTGTTTGAGTCTTGCCCGTTATTCTCTTGAGTTGCCTTTCTCTTACTGTGTGGCAGGAGTTGTTTTATATACTGTAGAAATGAACTCTTTGTTTTATGTATTTAAAATTTCTTCTCTTGTGGATATATCTGGAAAACATTACGCTAAGTGAAACAAGTCAGCCATAGAAGGACAAATACTGCATGATTCCTCTTACATGAGGCATCTAAAACAGTTAAAAGTGTAGAAGTAGACAACACAATGGTGGTTACCATGGGATGGGAAGAGAGAGATATGAGAAATTGCTGTTCAATGGTTATAAAATTAGTTACACAAGATGAGTAAGTTCTAGTTATACATTGTTTAACATGGTTTCTATAGTCAGCTGTATGGTACTGTATACTCAAAATTTTGTTAAGACGGTAGATTTATTTTCTGTTCTGTGGGAGAGTTTGTATAAGGTTGGCATTCTTTCTCTCTTAAATGGCAATAGAACTGACATCTGTTCTTGGAGTCTTCTTTGTGGAATGGTTTAAATTATGGATTTAATTTTTTTGAATAGTTATAGGACTATTTAGATTTTCCATTTCTTCTTGTGTCTGTTTAGGTAAGTTGTATTTATCTGGGAATGTGTTCATTTCATCTAAAATGTCACATGTATCAACATAAACTTGTGTATAATTTCCTCTTTTTATTTCTTTAATGTCTTCAGTTTCTCCAACTATGTCTCTATTTTCATTTTTGACTTTCCTATTTGTTCTTTCTCTCTCTCAAGTTTTATCAGGGGATTATAAATTTTACTGCTCTTTAAAGAACCAAATTTGGATGTGTTGATCCTTTTCATTGTACATTTGCTTTCTATTTCATTAATTTCTGCTCTTACCTTTATTATTTCTTGTCTTCTACTTTCTACTTTGGGTTTAATTTGCCTCTCAAGAAGAACTTTAATACATATGCTGAAAAGTATAAATTACCCCCTAGCACAGCTTTAGCGGTATCACTCATTGGGTTTTTCTGGACTTCTACTAGACAAACGTTGCCCTCCTAGGTTGTTCTAGAATCAATATAATATTATGTTTAGAGTACAGAATCTGGAACCACACAATCTGCATTTGTATTTCAGCTCTGAAACTTTCTAGCTATGTGGCCATTGCCAAGTTAGTTAATTTCTCTTTCCTCAGTTTTCTCATCTGTTAAATGGAGATCATTACAATTCTCACTTGGAGAGTGAATGATTAAACAGTATATGATACCCACGCAAAATATGCCTTTAGATATTACCATTTTATTACTCTGAGTTTTCTACCTCTTTGCCTTTGGCTATATAAATTCAGAAAGATTACCTTGACTTTTCCTTCTATTTTAGTTTTTTCATGAACTCCTTCTTATCCTCAGATTGCTTCTTTCGAAAAATTTTTATAGTAGCCTATTCTCGTTTTATGGATGCAAAATCTGAAATCTCTCTGGGGATAGTAATTAGTATGTTTTCAATACAACTTGTCAGAAAGCACGTTGGCTCTGTTTTCTCCGCAGCTCTTGTCCACCCCAGACTGCCTTCTGGCCACTGGTCTTACTCTAGGGTCTGCTGGTCCTGTGTGTCTGTTTGAACATACGGCTGGAGGACCTGGCAGATTCAGCTAAGCACCTGTGTGGGTTTTCTTGGACATCTCTAGTCTCTGTCCTGAAAGAGAAGCTGGCCTTGACCTGTGGGTGCCGGGCAGGTGTGTCTACCAGCAGGTTTCACTGGAGGGGTCAGCCGAGGGGAGAGGGCAGGGAGGCTGCCTTCCAATCCCCGATGAGGAGCGCCTTCCTTCGAAATGTCGACCCCTGCCTTGAGACCTGGCATCTCCAGGAGAGCTGGAGAGCTTCTTGCCACCACCCAGTTCAGCTCATCTGCAAACGAAGTCTCAAATCCACCTGTGGGTTTTCTTTCCCTCTTCCCACTCCGTGCTCCAAACCTGCAAACCTCAGGAGGCCCTGCTGTGGTGCTGGTCTCCTGGTGCCTCTACAGCCTCCTTTCCCCGGTCCTTCAGCTGCGGCTCCTGCACCCTCAACTGAGATGCATCTTACAGAAATTGTCAGAATCTTCAGTTGGTGTAAGCCCCTGTTCAGAGCCAAACCCTGGCTCTGTCAAGTTTAGCAATCTCTCTGAGCCTCAGTTTCCCTATCTGTAAAACGGAGTGTTTAGTATGCATCTCACAGAGTTGTTACAATTACCTGATCCTCCTCGCCTCCGGCCTGATGCATGTCTTGCTGAAACGAGAAAAAGCCTCCTGTTACCCAAGACACCTTCCTGCCATTGCCGAGGAAATTGCAGGGGCAGATGTACAGCATACTCTGACCTTGAACGTGAATGGCATGGTCTAAGGAGGGCCTCCTGGATATGACAGATGTGGACATGTCTGAGGGCCCAGCTACAGCAGGCACTGCAGAGCTGCTGTCCCCACTCCTGCTTCAGGAGAGAAACCCTTTCCAAACAGACCCGTTCTGCTCCTCCACTCTCCCGTGGCTGACAGCATTCCCGGGGCTCCTGGCCCTTAAGCAAGGGCGCAGGTGACACCACGCTTCATGTTTGGTTGGCCACACCTGAGTCTCTGGATGGCAGAGTGTAGGCATAGCAGGTTCCCGTCACACACACGGAGAGAGAATGTGCCCCTGCAGGGCCTCCTCACCACCTGCAAGGCTGGGCTCTGTACCAGCGCCTGGCAATGTGAGAAGCTAAGGAAGCTGGGGGCAACTCCAGCCAAGGGTGGCCGGCAAGGCCCTTTGTATATTTTCACATTCACTGAAATGAAGCAAAGCCTGCTTTTAGAGAATTCGTGACCTGAAACGTGATTGCAAGGTTACCGAGGAGTACGGCGTCTTTCCAAACGTTTCCCTTTGCGTCTGTGCTGTGGCTCCGCCTTCCCTCCAGTTCAGCCCTGCTCTGATGCTGACTCAGAGACCAAGGAACGCTCCTTGCTGTGTGTACCCCTATGCCCCCACCTCCAGATGCAGCCTTCCTCACCCTGCCTCAGGCCCACAGGAGTCCCAGAGACCGTGAGGGACTTGAGACACTTGGGGTAAATTTCTTCCTCGGCTCAGCTTCGTGGGCCAGCTAATTTTAGGGTCTCCGCCACAGTCAGTTCCCAGGATTCATGCATTCCCAGCCAGGTCTCATCTGGCCCAGGCACCTGCCCAGCTTCTTCTCCACATGCCCAGCTTACTTCTGTCATTCCAACACCAGGCCCCCCTGCGACCATGCCCTGCTATGGCCAGTACCTCTGCAACCAGGACACCTGCGATGGCCCCCTCCCTGCAACCAGGCCTCCTGTGACGCCCCCCGACCCCTGCTGCAACCAGCCCCTCTGTGACAGCCCCCTCCCAGAAACCAGGCCCCTGGCAATGCCCCGCCCTGCAAACAGGCCCCCCTGGGACGAGGCCTCCCACCCCCACCCGTGACCAGGCCCCTTGCGTTCTCAGCCCCTTCCCCATCTCTCCTCCTGCCCGCCATCGGCTTTCCCTGCAGGGGATATCACCACCCAGGACCCTCTTCCTCCTTATGCTCAACAGTGACGATAGTCTTGTTGTGGGTCGACAGGTGTGCAGAATAAATGCCATGTTGTGGAATCTTGGGGAAGAAGACCTGGCGGGAGCTGAGGGTCAGGCACACACGTGTGAGCATTCGTGCACACGCTGTCTAGAGCAGGGGCCCCAAGCCGGGCCTGAATCAAGGATTCAGGTGTGAGTGATTTATTGAGAGGTGATCCCTGAGAGCCCTAGTGGGAGAGCGGGGAAGCGAGGCAGCGAGGGAAAGGAGCCCACGTACCTTCTTCAGGCTGCCCTGGTGGGTGCCCAGGCACTATCCTTCTGCGACCTCTGTAGTAGTGTGTGGGACACACGGCAGCTCCGCCCACCGAGGGGAGAGGGAGTTGGGTGTTCCTCCTCCACTCCTGTCGTCTCTGGCCAAGGGCTGCTCTAGAAGACGTGGCTGGCCCAGCCCCTCCAGCAGGCCCTGGGTGAGCGCAGAGGGGAGGACCCAGGCAAAGAGCTACGGCTCTTGCAGTAAGACGCGGTTAACAGAGTGGGGCGATGGGGGAGTGGAAACCCCACAGGCAGCATCTGCAGCACAGGACACCCCCGCGGGAACGCACACCTGACTTGCTTCAATGCATTTGACGTTGTGCAGCCCTCAGAACCCACGGTTTAACCTCTTTTCACCTGGTTTATGTTTTAGATAGGAACATTTTAAGATCATGAAATATTTCAAGCACATAGCAAATAGAAAATGTAGTTAACCTATGCATCTATCATCTGGCCTGTCACACTGTTGCATTCTGATAATGAAATATCTAAAATACACCACAGTCTCGGTTCTGATTTCTGTCACCTGCCATTGGTTCTGCCAGCGGGTTCTATTGTGGTAGGGGCAGAAGCATGCCAAAGTATAACTGTCAGCCTTGTAGGCAAATGGTCTTTTCTCTCTAGCGGCTTTTACAGTTCTCTCATTAGGCTGTCACCGTGGCTCATGCCTATAATCCTAGCACTTTGGGAGGTCGAGGCGGGAGGATCACCTGAGCCTAGGAGTTGGAGACCAATCTGGATAATATAGGGAGATCTCGTCTCTACAAAAAGATTTAAAACTTAGGCACGAGCCTGTAGTCCCAGCTACTTGGGAGGCTGAGGTGGGAGGATCACTTGAGCCCAGGAGGCAGAGGTTGCAGTGAGCTGTGATAGCACCACTGCACTCCAGCCTGGGCAACAGAGTGAGACCCTGTCTCAAAAAAAAAAAAAAAAAAAGATTCTCTGTCTTCAGTGTTTCAGCTTTGTCACAACGTGATTATTTATGGCTTTCATTTGTTCTGAAAAATGTTTGGCTATTGTCTTTTTAATATTACTTATCCTCATGTTAAATACATCATAGTACATACATGTAACAGACCCCAATGTTACATACACATAACAGACCTCATCCTCCTCAGAAGGGATTTCCCAGGCCAGCCATTTATCCGGGGCAGATGTCTGCAAACTGCAGCCTGCAGACCACATCCAGCACACAGCCTGTTTTTATATGGCCCAGAAGATAAGACTGGTTTCTATATGTTTAAAATGTTGTTAAAAGGAGGAGGAGGAGGACGGGAAGGAGAAAGTGGCGGTAGAAGGTGGAGAGGCAGAAGGGGAGGAGGAGGGGAAGAAGAAAGAGAAGAATATTGGCAGAGGCTGGACACAAACTTCACGGTCTGACACTCTACCCGGCTGTTTGCAGAAGGGCCACTCTAGGGCTCTGACTCTCCTCATCAAACACCTTGCCAGCATCCTTCCACACATCCTTCCACATCTTCCGAAAAAGAGTGCCAACCACAAGATAGGGATGCCCTTTCTCACCACTCCTTTTCAAAATAGTGTTGGCAGTTCTGGCCAGGGCAATCAGGCAGGAAAAAGAAAGAAAGGGTATTCAATTAGGAAAAGAGGAAGCCAAATTGTCCCTGCTTGCAGATGACATGATTGCATATTTAGAAAACCCCATCGTCTCAGCCCAAAGTCTCCTTATGCTGATAAGCAACTTCAGCCAAGTCTCAGGATACAAAATCAATGTGCAAAAATCACAAGCATTCCTGTACACCAATAACAGACAAACGGAGAGCCAAATCATGAGTGAACTCCCATTCACAATTGCTACAAAGAGAATAAAATACTTAGGAATCCAACTTACAAGGGATGTGAAGGACTTCTTCAAGGAGAAATATAAATCACTGCTTAATGAAATAAAAGAGGACACAAACAAATGGAAGAACATTCCACGCTCATGGATAGGAAGAAAAAATATCATGAAAATGGCCATACTGCCCAAGGTAATTTATAGATTCAATGCCATCCGCATTAAGCTACCAATGACTTTCTTCACAGATTTGGAAAAAACTACTTTAAAGCTCATATGGAACTAAAAAGAGCCCTCATTGTCAAGACAATCCTAAGCCAAAAGAACAAAGCTGGAGGCATCACGCTACCTCACTCCAAACTATGCTACAAGGCTACCATAACCAAAACAGCATGGTACTGGTATCAAAACAGAGATATAGACTGACGAAACAGAACAGAATCCTCAGAAATAACACCACACATCTACAACCATCTGATCTTTGACAAACCTAACAAAAACAAGAAATGGGAAAGCATTCCATATGTAATAAATGGTGCTGGGAAAACTGGCTAGCCATATGTAGAAAGCTGAAACTGGATCCCTTCCTTACCCCTTATACAAAAATGAATTCAAGATGGATTAAAGACTTAAATGTTAGACCTAAAACCGTAAAAACCCTAGAAGAAAACTTAGGGCAATTACCATTCAGGCCATAGGCATGGGCAAGGACTGTCATCGACTAAAACACCAAAAAGCCATGCGCCACAAAAACCAAAAATTGACAAAATGGGATCTAATTAAACTAAAGAGCTTTCTGCACAGCAAAAGAAACTACCATCCAGAGGAACCAGGCAACTTACAGGATGGGAGAAACAATTTTTACAATGCTACCCATGCTGACAAAGGCTAATATCCCAGAATCTACAAGCACAACTAACAAATTACAAGAAAAAAATCAAACAACACCATCAAGATAGCAAGCACGGCATATGAACAGACACTTCTCAAAACAAGGACATTTATGCAGCCAACAGACCATCGAAAAATGCTCATGTCATCGGCCATCAGAGAAATGCAAATCAAACCACAATGAGATACATCTCACACACAGTTAGAAAGGTGGATCATTAAAAGTCAGGAAAACACAGGTGCTGGAGAGGATGTGGAGAAATAGGAACCTTTTACATTGTTAGTGGGACTGTAAACTAGTTCAACCATTAAGCCGTGTGGCGATTTCTCAAGGTCTAGAACTAGAAATACAATTTGACCAGCCATGCCATTACTGGTATATACCAAAGGATTATAAATCATGCTGCTATAAAGACACACGCACACGTATGTTATTGTGGCACTATTCACAATAGCAAAGACTGGAACCAACCCAAATGTCCATCAATGATAGACTGGATTAAGAAAATGTAGCATATATACACCATGGAATACTATGCAGCCATAAAACAGGATGAGTTCATGTCCTTTGTAGGGACACGGATGAAACTGGAAACCATCATTCTGGGCAAACTGCGCAAGGACAGAAAACCAAACACTGCATGTTCTCACTCATAGGTGGGAATTGAACAATGAGAACACTTGGACACAGGGTGGGGAACATCACACACGGAGCCTGTCGTGGGGAGGGGGAGGGGGAGGGATAGCATTAGGAGATATACCTAATGTAAATGACAAGTTAATGGGTGCAGCACACCAATATGGCCACATGTGTACATATGTAACAAAGTTGCACGTTGTACCCCAGAAACTTAAAGTATAATAAAATAATAATAAAAAAGAGTGCCAACCAATCCAGTGGTCTTGTTGCTTCATTTCCAGTGGTGTTGGTGCCCCCCGCAGCTGTCTAGCCCGCCTTGCCTCCAGCCCCATGTCCACTCACGCAGACACCTGTGTCCACTGCACACACATACATGTGCATGTTCACGAATACATGTGCACAACTGGGACATGCACATCGATGGATTGTGCACCGTGTGCCTGTGCCGTATCTCCATATACACAGTGCAGATCGAATACACCTGTGCGAAGGCACAGCGCAGGTGGTTCAGTGGGATTCACTGATTCACTAAAGTCAGCTGATCATATATGATCATGTGATAATATGATCTCCATAGTCAGCTGATCAGTCCCTGCAGATTCACAAAGTCATGTCCCGGAAACAACACAGGTGTCCATCGACAGATGGGTGAATAAACAAGGCACGGCCTATGCATATAGTGAAATGGTACTCGGCCATGGAAAGGAAGGATGTACGGACATGCGCCACCACACAGCTGACCCTCGAAACACTGTGCTCAGTGAGATAAGCCACTCAGAAAAGGACAAGTACTGCATGATTCCACTCACATGAACGCCAGAGTCCACAGATGCAGACACAGAAGGTAGAATGGTGGGCGCCAGGGACTGGGGGTCAGGGGACGGAGAGTGAATGTTCAACGAGGACAGAGCTCCCATTTAGGAGGTGAGAGGGCTCTGGAGTGGATGGTGGCGATGGCTGCACCAGAAAGTGAATGCACTTCACACCACTGACTTCTACACTGAAAATGGATTCTGATGCTGAATGTTATGTTACGTGTATTTTACCACAATAAAATATGTTTTTAAATGGTTAAATGGTAAATTTTATGTGATATATGTTATATATATGATGTATATAAGATATATATCATATATAAGATATATAAAAGATACATATATGGTATATATATAAGATGTATATATGTGTGTGATGCATATATACATATATCTTGCCACAAACTTTAAAAGTGAAAAAAATTACTCCTGGGGCACAGTGGTACAGGCCTTTTGTAGACAAAACAAGGAAGTAAGTCTGTTTTGTCCCTAGTCTGTGTGGCAGTGAAGTCTGGTTCGGTTTTGCTTTTTCATGTCAATAGAAATGATCACGTGTGGAACCCTGAGTGTTCACCATCTACCATGCTAAGGGCTTCAAAGGCTTGATTTTCCACATTCACAGTAACCCTGGGATAAGAGCAGTGTCTGCATCCTAACAACGTGCATTAGAAAATGAAGGCTCAGACAGCTCAGGTAGCTTGTCCATACCAGAGTGTCTAAAACATGGCAGAGGCCCGGTGTGGTGGCTCATGTCTGTAATCCCAGCAATTTGGGAGGCCAAAGCAGGAGAATTGCTTGAGTACAGGAGTTCAAGACCAGTCTGAGAAAAATAGGGAAACCCTGTCTCTATAAAAAATCAAAACAACTAGCTAGCATGGTAGCACATGCCTGTGGTCTAGCTACTTGGGAAACTGAGATAGGAGGATTGCTTGAGCCC